AGTCACTTGATTGTCCAGTCCAAATTCGTGGCTGAAATAGCGCTGTGAGCCCGCAAGCAAACAATCAACTGAATTTTGCCAAAATTACAGACACAATTCAGTGAAGGTGAAATATCCTGCATTTATCTGGTAGATAGTTCGCTCTGAAATAGTTAGTTTCTTTGTTGTTTAACGCCGAGCTCAGCAATATTCCAACGAAATGGCGGCGGGTTTGCTCTTGAAATGAAAAGGTCGCCTTGGAAAAAGTTGTTACATTTCTGTTTAATACAGCAAATAACTTGTTGATCTCAATTGTATTTTGTGACAAGAAAAGTGTTTATCGCAATATTTACCTGTGTGTTGATCAGTAAAGTAAATATATAATGGCACACGAGCTCATATCATTCGCATGTGCAGCTTTCGCAAACACAACAGATCACTTCCGTGGTGTTCAGATGGGGTCACAGTTGATCCTTTAGCCGCTGTTCTTTGTTAAGAGTCTAGAATAATGGATAGTGAATCTGATATTCATCCTAACATGCGCCGACGGCGTGAGTAAGTGAGTGATTTACAATCTGCATCTCTGTATGCGCTATGAGCATGCCCCCGGCGTGGAATTTTGGCGCTTTAGAAATATACTTATTATTATTATTATGTTTTACAGATTAAAGATGAAAATGCAGCAGAGAGGGTTCGGGTGATCCTGGCACAGTCGGGCTGGTAAGGCTCATCATCAGCTCAGGGCCCTCGCCCCCTCTACACGCAGCCCAGACAGCGAATGGGTCTTCTCCCAGGAAACACTGCCTAGTAGAACCCACCAAGAACTTTCCGGGGAATATGAAGGCTTTCCAACACTGCAGCCTTCTGCATTACCCAGATTGGGAATATGAAGGCTCCCCTAACACTGCAGCCTTCTGCATTACCCAGAGTGTCAGAAGGGCTGTGCTCGCGGTGGAGAACCCGGGCACTCTCCTGATCTGTGTCAAGAGATCAGGAGGTACCAAACCAAAGGCACCGAGAACAATGGGGATCCTGACGACAGTGTACTTGGGATGCAAGCGAGACATTTCAAAGGCGAGGTCCGCATATTTATCATGCTTTTCCTGAATCTTGTCAATCACATTGCTGTCAAAAGGGACAGAAAATTCAATGATATAAATAAATTCATTGGCTTTATCAAAAAAGACAAGATCAGGTTTGTTGGCAGGAATTCTTCTGAGGCTGTATATAGGCCTGTTCCACAGAAGTTTGAAAGCATCATTTTCCATGACGCCCTGGACATGTTCAGGGTCGTACCATGGATGGACCTCGGAGTCAAAGCCACAGGCATGGCGGAGACGGTAGTAAAAGCAGCGAGCCATGCCATCATGTCGTTTCAGATATGCTGTTTGTGCCAAGGAAGGGCATCCACTAACAAAGTGTTGGACAGTCTCTGAGAATTCATTGCATTTCATATTGATATTTTCTTTAAGAATCACATGTTGGCGATAACGAGTGGGAAGTGACTGGTCCTGAGCAGCAAAAAGGAAGCCCTCAGTTTCACATTTAAGTCCAGCCGACTTCATCCAGGCGAAGGAGTCGGTGGGATTGCTATTCTGTTCCACACACTGCATGTACACACGATGCAATGGCTTCTCAAAAAGCTTCTCCACAAAGACCGACTCTGGGCAGACTTGGTGAAGGACTTCACCTGGTTTACTCCCATCGCTGTACCGTCCAGCAGTACATCGCCATCAGTAAAATCAACCTCAAATTTCATTTTATTATTATTATTATTATTATTATTATTATTATCGACATAAATTCATACATATACACGAGTACATTTAAGTTATATTTAAAACAATTTTATATACACATTTTAACATTACAATATTATTAACAATTCAAAGCAATATCACACCAAATTTTATCAACGCAATTGGATTATAACCATACATATTTACACTTTGACATTTTCTTCAACATCACTGTGAGAAAAAATGCTGATGTTAAACACAAATGACGTCACGAATCGTGTCTTGTTATCTTTATCTTTTGCATGCGTTCGTTCTTAGACAACCCTTGCAGTTTATGGTTAACAACCTCTCATAAAGGTGTATCAGTGAAAGTAAGAAATCATTTCATTTGGTTTTATGAGAGCAAAAACCTTGCGGCTGTTTTTACACGATCGTATTCATGACGAAATTATGTTTCTTGCGTCTTTTGTTTTATTGGCATACCTATCAGGTATTTTAGAAAAGTATCAGACGGACGGATTGGGTTAAAAATGTAAAAGTCATGAATGACAGATATGTGTCGTGTTCGTTTAATCTGCTGTCATTAACCTACCTTTTCAGAACAATTTAACGTTTCGTTAGCTCCTTTACCGCCAGGGACCGCCTCCGTGGTGTAGTGGTTAGAGCCTCCGCCGGGAGAGCGGAAGGTCGCGGGTTCGATCCCCGACCGCGTCATGACAAAAGACGTTAAAATGTGGTACTTGTTGGTCCCTGCCTGGCGCTCGGCATTAATGGGTACGACAAGGACTAAGTGGGGTATTCATGCTTCACTGCGGCATGGTATCTCAGTGGGCTAGCACTATAAAACCAGCTTAAGTCTGGGCTAGTACAAGCAGCCGCACATACACATACACACGCATGCACGTCGTCCTATGACCGAAATATTCTCAAGCACGACGTTAAACCAAATTCCACCACCACCTTTGCCGCCAGCAGCACTATTGTAGATGCGGCTTTAAGCATATTTTGAGTGGTGAATCAGATAAGGACAACCTTTATGGATGAACAACTTCTTTATTCAGGTGATGCAAAGTTTCGATACAGATTCTTGTATCGTTATCAAGCAAGTACTTGCCAACGATACAAGAATCTGTATCGAAACGTCGCATCTCCCGAATAAAGAAGTTGTTCACCCATAAAGTTTGTCATCAGCAATAATTATTCTCTTATTCATTAACTTGTAACGTTTGCAGACAGGATTATGAAGTAGCGTTTTGTAGCATGATTGAGCCCGACGTTTTCTATGAAATCCAGAACAGGGTCTTTTATATCTAATACTTCACTGTTGTATATATTTCACTGTTTGTATGTCTATAAATCTATCTCAGAACTGCACTTACATTCACCCCTCTTCAAGAGAACATGCTCGGAAAAGATGGCCAAGATCGTGGAAATATTTAAAATACATAGAAAATAAATGTGTTTGTCCAGTTAACTGGTCTGTCATACTGTCCACCACAGATATGTCTTTATGCCAGTGTGCATAGCGATCCCTCATTAGCGTGTCCAAACATGTCCGGAGGATTCCTATAGAATACAATGGCGTTGGTGTCCATCTGGTAATGTCATATCTATTACCAAAGTCGCCTCTTCGCGGAATATCATGCCGGGAAAGCCCGAAGAGAGCCGAGCTCCCGCTGAGACTATTTTCCTAAACAATAGTTTCGGACAGGACGAAATGTCGAGGGAAATGCGTTCCCATTTCATACAGAGGGTATCATGAAATTGTGGAAATTAAGCGAGGTCTGTTTCTGACAGGCAGGTTGGTCAGGGATTATATATAAAGCTATCAGATTTTGGTTCATTCTCAAACGTTTCAACAAGCTTGAAGACTTCTACCTGTTGCTCAAAGGTATGTGTGTGCTGTCTCTAAAGCATTTGTTTTCATCTCTTTATATCCCTTTCTGATACTGTATTCATATTCATTATAATAGTATTTGAAAAGTCGACTTTAAAGTGTTTGTATAACTTTATTTCAAACAGCTGATTTACATTTGCCGAAATGCACTGCCAAACTAAACAGCAGAAATAATCATTAATGAATGGTTTTAGTTGAAAAACAAATTTCTTATCAACTTTCATATTTGGAAATATGTATATTCATATTCATTTGGCATGATTTTCATCCAAAACATCTATACAAAGATGGATGGTATTGGCTGACGTTTTCGAGATAGCTCACCATAGATATGTCTTGCTCAGTCGTTTGATTACCATAGATATTTCTTGTAAACTAATCTTCTAATATATATCAGTATTTTAGCTCAATATTTCTGCTTTTAAAAGTTTTTACATGCTATTGCTTAAACAGATACTGCAAGGAAAACGAAAGTATTCACTGATATTTGCTGGTGGTTTAAAGTGAAACAAACAAGAGATAGTTATTTGATTGTGGTGTCTTTGATACCGGTATTGGACCTTAGGTTTGTAATTTTTGGCGATCGTTTTCAACCAAATAATGTTGTGATAATGTTTGTAATTTTTGGTCAAAACCAATGTTCACTTTTAAGCTGTCACTTTCCCGTCATTGTAGTGTGTTGGATATTTCATATGAACTAAATTTTATTGCAATATATTGCGATTCACGTACCTGTATTGCGATACCTATTGCGATATATTGGAAACTTAAGTGTTTGACAATGAGTTACACTAATTGTACATGTCAATGCTATTTCCTACATTATAAGTCCCTAAACATATATGTTATGGTTCTGATAACAGCAATCTCAAAATTAGGTTGTATAGTCAGGGATTCAATTTTCTTTTGTATACAATTTATAGGATTACAGTATGCCGTTTTGTCATTGAATAACGAAGGAAAATATTTGTTGTGAATGAAAGAAAGTGTAGATTTTAATTTAAGCCATAAAGATAATCACAAAAACTTCATATATGTTCTTTAGCCAATAAACCGGTCCTCAGAAATAAATATTGCAATACGTATCGTTTGAAAAGCGTATTGCGACATACCGGTAATACCATGCAGTTCTACTAAATCTACGTTGAGTCTTTACCGATTTATAAAATATAAACAAGTGCTTGTTTAAACTCACAATATTCGCTCTTTAAAAAATGTCATACAATCTGTAATTCATACATGGCTAGACATGATAGAAATAATTATTTCGGACGTTTTTTTAGTCAAACTTACTTAAATACTCCCCAAAACGGCAAAAAATCCTTCCTGGAAATAAACATTTCAAGCAAACATTTCACATTTCAGAACACATCGAAACCTTCAAGATGCAAAAACTCGTCATAGCTGTGCTTTTAGTGTTTTCATTGGTTGTAATGGATGTCACGTGTCAGGACGCCATGCTGGCTCCTCCCGACAGGCCATCTGAGTTCCGGTCACCTGACCAGCTCCGCCAGTACTTGAAGGCTCTCAATGAGTATTATGCAATCGTTGGCCGCCCAAGGTAAGTTACTTCATGCATGGATTACTGTGTCTGTTTCATATATTGATTTCACCTCAAATCTGATCGCTCATATAATTAGGAGACATCTTTAATGTACAAGCAATATTTTATTATCACGCCCAAGTCCTCTTTGAAGTCGTGTTCAGGCTTTGACTATTAATGTAATGTTTCAGTGAGGAATATATCAGGCAATATAGAATAATTTTTCCATCACATGTAATATGATAGTACTGATAGTTCAGCCGGTTAAAGCACCAAAAATTCGTGTGCGCCAGAAACTTCGGATCCCGGTTAGCTAAGGTTAATGTGTTCAGGTTTGTGAGTATCTTACCCGTGTCCTTGGGTTTATCAAAGTGGTAAGCTTCGGGGAAGTATTAAGCGACTGTTAACCATTTCGGACTGTTCTCCCACTCAAGCTGGGAGTCCCAATATGCTTGAAATATTGTTCAAAGCGGTATGGACTCAACTCGTCAACCCACCCAATGTGGACATAAGACTGAAATAGTACCGACTGATCTCACTCATCTACTTTATAGTGAATATAGATGTCCCCGAATTTAGGAACCACTAGATAATGTATAGTACTAGATAATTGGTAATTCTCGGTACCATAGCCAGATCCTATAGAAAACGAAGCGTGAAGATCCGGTCGTCAGCATCCCATGCTTGTCAAAGAGGCGGGTCATGTAGCCAGGCGTGCTTGACTGACTGACTGAGTTTAGTTTTACGCCGCTTTTAGCAATATTCCAGCAACATCACGGCGGGGGACACCAGAAATGGGCTTCACACATTGTACCCATGTGGGGATTCGAACCCGGGTATTCGGCGTGACAAGCCAACGCTTTAACCACTAGGCTACCCCACCGCCCCCAGGCGTGCTTGAAGCGTCTCGTCGTTGTGTAGATCGAAGCTCCCAATGTCAGTCACTGGATTGTCTGGTCCAGACTCGACTATTTACAAACCGCTGTCGTATAGCGGAAATATTACTGAATGTAGCATTAAACAACAAAGAAATTAACAGACGATAACACTCAGACCAAATGGTCAAGCGAGTTTTATTCATGGAAGGAAAACAAGTATTTAAAGCTCACGTAAAATCGCGATAGAGTCGTCACTTTGTTCTCGCACCAAACGTGTCCATAGCTGATATTCCAATGTAGATGTTATGTAATATATACGTCTTGGTACATAATTTATGCTAATCCTTTCAGACAGACGGAATTTCAGTAAAACATGCAACGTATTTATTTATCCCATATTGTTTTGGCTTATATATATTTTCTTAAAGAAATGGTTTTGTATCTGGAACTAACATTGATGTTACGCGCCATTTTTCATAAGCGGGGTGTATTTACCTGGTATTTAATAAATTCATAATGGGGCTTCGTATCCACCAATATCTCGGTAGATCTCTAACATAGCAAAAGCCATTTTTACACCATTTGTTGCATATTAGTGAAATATCTCATATCATAAACGAGAAAATATCTAAGCAAGTCCAGTGGTCTTTTGTCCTCGTCAAAATATATTTGTCAACTTTCGCGAAAGAGGACATTATTATTGTTCTAATGTATCATATATCTCGCATGATTGTCTTACAAGCGAAAGAATCTGATAATCGAGATATGTTTCCAGTCATTATTGGGGATCATATTCACCAATTATGTCCCAAGATACAATCACAATCTTCTCCGTCTATTTGGGTGTCCTTCAAAATGTCAAGATTTACATTGATGCATTACAAGGCTTCATGAAGCTAACGGACGGGACGGCTAGGGAATGACAAATTACAATTACAAATGAAGTATTTTCAGCTCCATTTACATGAAACTGGATTATTCTTAAGATTTTCCATAACCGTTTTGCCTGACAGTGACTGTACTATTTTTGTAGCATTATATGATTGCGGTTTTTAATGGGCACAAATCCATCCAGGTGTATAGGCTAAGGTTCTATAAGCTATGCGCAGTTATATTAAGATCAAGTTGTAGCGGTTCCGGCGACCAGATGCCGGGATAAACTGACAAAGGCCAATAAACACACACCCTGAAAGATTCAATGGATTCTTCGTAATTGGTGCCACCAAGAATCGTTTTGTGTCAGAAAGACATTTCAAATGTTTGCGATTTAAAGTTCTAAACGGTCTTTCACCTCGGTATCGGTTTGGTAGCCTGGTAGTAAAAGCGCTCGTTAGTCATTTTGAAGACTGGAGTTCGATTCCCAATGCCGAGTGGAATATTTGCCGAAAGCGGTCTCAAATCCAATTTACTAGCTCAGTCCCTGGACTCTGGGGATCCCGGGTTAGAAGAGATCCTAAGTTGGTCGTAAGAGGCGAGTTCATGGCTCGGGCGGTCAGTCTCGGTGACTTGATTGATGGTCAGTCGTCGTAGACGATGACGTGGGTCGTGGCTGATAATATGTATCACTTGTTTGTTTGGTCTCCATAATGTACAGACCGCCGTTACATTGTTGAACATTGCTGATTGCGGCGTTAAACGACAAACAAAACGAATGCTTGTGGTTGTCACGAACTAGCATCCACTGGTAAAAAGTCACGTACTTCCGATAATTCCATGATGAGCATCACGTACTTGCGCTTTCGAAAGGATAGTCATATATTAGCTGGCTAGTTTCCTGGGAATTCCCAAGAATAGCCATGTATTAGCAGGCTAGTTTCTGGGAATTCCTAAGGATAGCCATGTACTAGCAGGCTAGCTTCCTGGGAATTCCCAAAGATAGTCATGTATTAGCTGGGTAGTTTCTTGGGAATTGCTATGGCATTCGGGGAAGTCTCCCCTACGATGATAAGAACCAATGGAAAGGGTCACAGGAAGGTTCCATCTACTATCACGCAAGTCTTTCAGGATTGACAGATGCTAGAGGGCGACGTCTTTTGTAACTTCTCCATCTCTTCGTTTTAAGTATTCAGTACAACCAAGAGTGTATTTTTGTGTAATCATACGACATGGAAACAATTACAAAATGGCTTGTTGACAATGACATTTATCTCACATTATGCATTTGTACGCGTTGCTTAAGTATCTTTTTGTAAAAAAATTCCGTCACTATAAAACCTTTCCTTTCCAGGTTTGGTAGAAGTGTGAACAAGAGATCAGTCAACGATGCAGTTTTCGGAGAGGCTACAAAAACAGGTACGTCGTTGCATTGTTACAAGCTGCATCAAGTAAAACCTCAGCATGTCCTTGTGCCGGGAAGATTTTATAATTGCTTTACTTAGCTGGGGTCCTCGGTAGTTCGAGTTATGTGAGGAGAATTAAGAATTGAGTTACACGTCTGATTTAGAACATTACACTTTAAAGTAGAAACTAATCGTTGACATTTTGTTTCCGTGATGATTTGTTCCTGACAGGTCTTGATCGTGATATCAACTCATTCCTTGGCAATCCCAGTTATGTGTCACATATCAAAAGCTATATGAAACACGAACGGGGATCTGAGCAAGATTAATATTTTATGAGAGGACAGTTTTTCTGTAGTTTAACGATTTTAATTTATACTCGCAGGAGGAACATAATACTGACTATCTACTTGAAAGTATACCTTATAGTTTATGTGTATACTTTGCAAGTGAAAACAAGACATGAATATGTTTCGAGGAATCGTAAACACCTGATCTATTGGGAGCAACTTTGTGATGATAAATATACTCCGGTGGTGCGGAGGAAAATATATCGGGCCCCTTTAATGCATTTCAAAATTGAAAGAATTGGTTAATGTAATTTGTAAAGTTTTTTTCCCTATCCCTCATACCCGAGAAACGAAATGTGTGTGGTTAATGTTTTTGTAAAATAAACCCTATTAAATGAAGACTTGGTTAGAAACGAATTTGCAATGGCACGATCCCTACCTTGTTTGAAATGTTGTAAATTTGTAAAGAAAAAGGCTGGGAGGGGATCTGATACTGTTGAGGTTTGTATATTCTCTGTTCACCCAGCAGAAAATGGGTACCCGGTGGGATAAGTCATGTGACTATTAACCTTCTAGCGCCTCACAGGCAGCTTGGGTTATCCAGGGTAATAATAATCCGATTGTAGCCTTTGAGCGTGTCCCTCCGTGGTGCGGAATTCAGCGCATTACAAATACCCTTATTATTATCATCATTATTATTATTATATCTGATCTATGTTTCTGTTAGTAGAGTAGACAATGGTGACTACAAGACACAGAGGACTGGAAATTAGGCTTCTAACCTTCATCAGCATCAAGCACTGATCACGTCAACATCTCATTGGTTAGAGACTACTGCGTCTCATGACGACGGAGCCCATTGCGTCATCGTGACGACAGAGGTTGACGAAGGGTGTCATAACTCTTTCTCCATGACGACGTGAAACAAGACACCTCCGTTGAAGCATACGGTGTGCGTGTTTTTCATTTTGTTGAAACAATGGTCAATAAAGATCAGGAAACCTAATTCTGTGAGTTGTGATTTCTTTATATCAAGTTTCGTTTTATATCTGGCAATTATGTTTGCCCAGGTCATTACGGAAAACGTGATATTTTTTCCTGCGATACCAACTGTTTTGTACGACTCTTTGTCACTATGATATAAGTAACGAAAGGTTAACTACACCACTGAGATTATCAAACCCGTTAAACTACACTTCCAGGCAAATGAAGTAAACGCTCATGTTTTATTTTGGAAATGAAACAAACAAGAGTGAGTGAGTTTAATTTTACGCCGCTTTTCAGCAATATTCCAGCAATATCACGGCGGGGGGCACCAGAAATGGTCTTCACACGTAGTGCCCATGTGAGGAATCGAACCCGAGTCTTCGGCGTGATGAACACTTTATCCACTAGGCTACCCCACCGCACCGAAGCGAAAAAGACATTGATATTCGAGGGTGTTGGATAGGGATATCATTGTTTTATTTATCACCTTTAACTTTCAACATGTCGACGATTTTTTTATCCGGTCAGTGAGTGAGTGAGTTTAGTTTTACGCCGCACTCAGCAATATTCCAGCTATATGACGGCGGTCTGTAAATAATCGGATCTGGACCAGACAATCCATGGATCAACATTATCCGGTCAGACTGGTTTGATAACTGTTATAATTGTTTGGCTCTAATCCAGTTTTAAGTGTATACTTTCATTTTTCCGGTGCTTTACAAGTACATGTTTCCATAAGAAAAGTAATATTTTGATGAAACACCGTCGAACAACTGATGAAACAATTTAACGTTACACCGACACCACCATTCACTGCAAAAAAACAACCCGCTAGATATCTGCACAGTGAAACCCTGCTATTCAGGACACTGTCAATCCCGACACCGGTCAATGCAAAGACATATACTGCATACCATGATTTGATAAGCGAAACATTTGAAAATGCGAACGATTTTACATTGTAATCACAGGTGAACAATTGACTTGGCTTTGCATGTGTTTATGCGGCTACCAGCAATGGTCTAGTATACGCTCACCTTGTATAATTACTATTTTGTAGTCGTTCATAAACACATACTCGTGATACAGTCTGAATCGTACAATGGGTCAGTGCAGATTTCTCACGATTTCCGGGAGCTTTTTGTATCTTCTTCGTTTACTTTATAACCTAGACATTAGGGGTTGGTATTGCAGAGAATTTTCATATTGCGATATATTGCGATGCGGAAGCATATATTGCGATTTGTATTGCAATATATTGCAAGGATTATTTTTTTAACAAAAACTACTTATAATCGAGTTAATGCTTGATTATAAGCAAAAACACAACAAAATCACTATGATTGATTAACCGTTTATAAAAACTTTTAATCATGACAAAATAAAAATGTAATTAACATTTGGCACTAATGAAACAGGGAAAAGAACAATTTAAAAACGGAAATATCCGAAGATTTCCGAGTGTTACGAAGTTTTCCGAATGCATGTCAAAATACCGGTTTTGATCAGCGTATCGCAATACGTATCGTTTTCATGTCTGAACCGGTAAATACCGGTAAACCGGTTATATTGCGCAGCCCTACTAGACATATACGATGAACATCTATCTTCGGAAATCTTACTGTCAAGACGAATATCAGTTCACACGGGGAGCCAATACATTCATATTAATCGGTGGTAAATGTTGGGAACCATGATGTTTCTCAAACTCCTTTGAGATGAGGTCGAAACATTTTGGAGTATATACTTCATCCAAGCATCGATTCACCTGATGAAGCAGGTAGCATAAACTCCGAGGCGATGTCTCCCTGTAATAAAAACGTTTGACGTCCATAAATAACGTCTTGATTATACGCATCACTTCTAAATGCCATTCAAAGAAGTAACGTTTCGGTTAATAACGACTTCCACTGACACACGTTGTGTAATATCAGGTTATTACGTATTCCAGACTATCCGTTTTCACAATCCCGATCAATCTGGTTGACCTTATTTAAAACACATGTAATCAAGTATGCTTTCCTGAGTCCATTACAAAGATTATTAAAATTACGTTATTGAGTGATTTGGATTTAACGCTGCATTAAACAGTATTTTAGTTATGTTCCGGCGTGAAAGCTTCATGTGGGTGGAAGGTCTTAAGACGTTTACAACGCTGGTGGAACTGACAAGCACAGGTTCGGTGCTGACAAATAGCTAGGAGCTGGGAGACCGAACCGTGGATTGTTGGCTAGGTGAACTTGAGTTTAGTGTTTAACAGTCTGGTATCATCACTATTTGATAGTGATTCATAAACACATTCTCTGTCGTCATATTTCTTAGTGTCAATCACTGGATTGTCTGGTCCAGACTCGAGTGTTTGCAGACCGCGTTGTACAGCTGTAATACTGCTGAATGTGGCCTCAAAGAAACTTATACTGATATAGTCTAGATTGTATAATCGAGAGAGAGAAAGAGAGAGTGAGAATGTGTACGAGAGAGAGTGTGTCCTTTTCTCTGTGTGTGTGTGTGTGTGAGAGAGAGAGTATGTGTATGAGAGATTGTGTTTCCGTTTCTCTCAGAGTGTGAGAGAGATTGAGTGTAAATGTGAATCCAGAGTGACTGTGTTTGTGTGTGTCTGTGGAGAGTGAGAGAGAGATAGATAGAGAGAGATAAAGAGAGTATGTGTATGAGAGATTGTGTTTCCGTTTCTCTCGAGGGTGAGAGAAGAGAGATGGAGTGTGTGTGTGAGAGAGAGATAGATAGAGAGAGAGAGAGAGAGAGAGAGAGAGAGAGAGAGAGAGTATGTGTATGAGAGATTATGTTTCCGTTTTCTCTGTGTGTATGTGTATGTGTGTGAGAGAGAGAGAGAGAGAGAGAGAGAGAGAGAGAGATAGATGAGAGAGAGAGAGTCCGTTTGTCTGAGAGATTGTGTTTCCGTTTCCCTCAGAGTGTGAGAGAGAAAGAGAGATAGAGTGTAAATGTGAATCAGAGAGTGACCGTTTTTTTCTCTCTCTCTCTCTGTGTGAGAGATAGATAGATAGATAAAGAGAGAGTATGTGTATGAGAGATTGTGTTTCCGTTTCTCTCGAGGGTGTGAGAGAAAAGAGATAGAGAGTGTGAGATGTGATAGATAGATAGATAGAGAGAGAGAGAGAGAGAGATAGATATGTGTATGTGAGATTGTGTTTCCGTTTCTGTGTGAGTGTGTGTGTGAGAGAGAGAGAGAGAGAGAGAGAGAGAGAGAGAGAGATTGAGGAGGGAGGGAGGGAGGAGGGAGAGAGAGAGAGAGAGAGAGAGAGAGAGAGAGAGAAACGGACGCACACTCTCTCGTACACATTCTCACTCTCTATCTCTCTTTTCTCTCTCGATTATACAATCTAGACTATATCAGTATAAATTTCTTTGACGCAACTCTCGGCAGTATTACAGCTGTCTTATACAAGCATTATCTGACGACGTTTAATGGTGCCAGTTATGCGATAACACGGATCACTCACCCAACTCACAGTCAGACCAAGCGTCAGGCAGGGTGACAACAAGCAACATGTTATGGTATGATACAGCCGGGGATCGAACCACTTACATTACATTCCTCTGCTATAAATGTTTTCAATATATGATGGCTTTCGTCACAACCTCGCTAACACCCGGTGTCACTTCAGTTGTACATCTATTTACGAGTGATGACTTTACTTATTCATAGATACATACAAAAACAAATCAGTTTGAATAACCCAACAATTAGCTTTACTGCCCAGAAATATGAAGCCCATTCTGAAAATTCCCCTCAGTGGACATTTGAAGTACTAACCAAATGATCTTGAAATTACATCTCATCGTGTACCTAAAGGATTTTATTGCCCTCACAAATTATAGTGTAAACACGCAGTAATAGCGTCTTTAGTGTACATATATACTTTTATTGTCACACAAAGCATAACATCTCGTCTTGTAGCTATTAAAGGTTTTTAAAAAGGTCACTACAAATTGTTTATAATTGATCTTAATGAATACCTACATACATATAATATACAAAAAATAAAGTTATAAACAGTAATATTACATTATACAGCTTCTATTGTGAATCTAAAACGCTCGTCCCACAGACCAAAGCACGAACAGACACAACCTAAATGTTTTGACAAAGAATGTGAAATTTTAAAACGCCGAAAGTATACACTTCTCGATAGATTCAGAGCGACAGCTGATCCTGTGCATTGTACCGAGTATCTCGATGCCAAACGAGACTATAAAAAGCTATGCAACCACAAAAAAGCGGTATATGAGAAAGATATTGAAAATGAAATTTAGATGCAGCAAAGAGCAATATATGTAAAGACTTTTGGAAGACCTAATAATTATAGGGGAATAGCGCTTCTAGATATTATCAGTAAAGTTTTTACATCAATACTTGACACGCGTATAAAATTCTGGATATCAACCCAAGAACTACTCTCTGAGTCACAAGCTGGCTTTCGAAACAATTACAGTACTATTGACCAGATATTCATACTTAACTCAATAATTCATAAATACATCAGAAAAAAACGTGGCAAATTCTACTGTATATTTGTAGACTTCAAAAAAGCCTTCGACACTGTTGATAGGAATAAATTACTGTATGTTCTTTTGAATAATGGTTTACATGGCAAAATAACCTATCTGCTTCGCAATATGTATTCGAATGTGAGAGCAGCTGTGAGATGCAGTAAGCAGACTATGACTGATGTATTTATGTCGACAGCCGGAGTCCGACAGGGTTGTATACTGTCTCCCGTTTTATTTATTCTATATATAGAGGAACTCGTAAACGATATTGTGAATAGCGAATACAGTGGTGCATTCATTGATGAAACTGTAGATTCTGATGCATTATTTATCTTATTATTTGCGGACGACGTCGCCGTATTTGGAGATAGCGTCATAAACTTGCAGAAGAAAATAGATGTTCTTGAATGATATTGCAAAAAATAGGGACTGTCGATTAATACCGAAAAGACTAAGATTGTTGTATTTAGAAAAGGTGGTGGACTTTCAAAAGATGAAAAACGGTTTATTGGCTCTGAAAGACTGGAATCTGTTTCCTATTACAAATATCTCGGAATAATGTTTTCATGCCGGAACCTGTTTTCAAGAGCCTGTGAGGTTCTGTGTAAACAAGCCGAGAAGGCGTTATATCCTATCAAAAATATTTTATGTCGATTTAAATCTCTTCCCCCAGATACATGCCTTAAGATGTTTTATGGCAAAATTCAACCAATCTTGCTCTACGGCTCAGAAATTTGGGGAACAATGTATCGACATAACATTGAAAAAGTCCACTCTAAGTTTTGCAAATTTGTCCTAGGAGTTGGTTATCGCTGTTCTAATAAAGCTGTTTTAGCGGAATGTGGAAGATATCCACTCCAAGTCAATTATAAAACAAGAGTTATATCATACTGGTTACGACTACTTAGCCAGCCAGCCAGCCACAAGACATTCTAAACGTTGCTATAATATGAAGAAAAATCTAGATGATAATGGAGATACTAACTGGACCTCCTCAGTTAGAACATTGTTATTTCAATACGGTTATGCACATGTATGGATCCTCCAAACAGTTGGAGATCCTAATATGTTCTTAAAGCTATTCAAACAACGCTGTAGAGATAGATATATATTACCAAGAATGGTCATCCGATATTGCAAGCTCCAAATTTTTGTATGCATATTCACTATTTAAACATGACATTGTTCATGAAACGTATTATCCTCTATGCAACTCCGCAGATCTCTTACAAAATTTAGATGTGGCATCAGTAAACTGAATGTACAAAGCTATAGAAGATACAAAGATGATGATATCAGTTCTGCCATGTGCGCTCTTTGCGTCAATATTGTCCAGGACGAGTACTATGTTCTATTACAATGTCCTGTTTTTTCTGATTAACGCATCAGGTATATACCACAATATTATTGTGTAAATCCCAACATACACAAGTTTGTAAATTTACTTAATACCCAAAATGCAAATGTTATTTTGCGCCTAGCCATATTTGTACACAAAATCCATAACGTTTTATGATACTTATAAATGCCAGTGTACTTCTCATGCCAGCGCTCCAAAGATTATGATGTAAAAATGTCACTGTACTTTTGGCCTCATGGCCACTCTACGAAATAAATCTGTCTGTCTATCTGTCTGTCTGTCCTACATTACATTCCTCTGCTATAAATAGTTTCAATATATGATGGCTTTCGTCATAACCTCGCTAACACCCGGTGTCACTTCAGTTGTACATCTATTTACGAGTGATGACTTTACTTATTCATAGATACATACAAAAACAAATCAGTTTGAATAATCCAACAATTAGCTTTACTGCCCAGAAATATGAAGCCCATTCAGAAAATTCCCCTCAGTGGACATTTGAAGTACTAACTAAATGATCTTGAAATTACATCTCATCGTGTACCTAAAGGATTTTATTGCCCTCACAAATTATAGTGTAAACACGCAGTAATAGCGTCTTTAGTGTACATATATACTTTTATTGTCACACAAAGCATAACATCTCGTCTTTGGGCTATTAAAGCATTTTTAAAACGGTCACTACAAATTGTTTATAATTGATCTTAATGAACACCTAGATACATATAATATACAAAAAATACAGTTATAAACAGTAATATTACATTATACAGCTTCTATTGTGAATCTAAAACGCTCGTCCCTCGAAAGCATTTCGCCTATTCGCAAGATAATGAGGTAGGCGGTCACGTGACGTCCTACCCGAGAGTCGCTACATCAACACACGGAAAATACAGTGGTACCGAGCCTGTTCGCTTACTGAGGTCTACTTCTAGTTTAGCAAATAAATCAATCCACGAAGTCAAACCTGGATTTGGATGGCATACTAGATACAGATAATATCACATACATACAACCTTCTCAATTTGAAAGTATTTCTAGCGGCAAGGTCGACATGAATATTGACGACGATTCCACCAGTTGACAACATACAGCCGTGGGACGATCCCGATCCCGACTATGTTTTGAATCGACCTACTGCAGACAGGTATGCAAGTCACTTGCCTATCACATGTTCATGGAAAACCGATTAGATACTGAAATAATTTTTCAGCAGTCACAGTAAAATTTGCAGTCATGATAACGGCAATGTTCGATCAATGTGTTGAGCCTGTCTTCCGGTATACATCGGGAAGGTCAACACTGAAATAGTTACGTTCGAGGTTCATGATTTTATTAAAGTTATTAAGTAACTTTCAGCTTTATTTCATAAAATGCGTCTTCTGATTAAATGTATCCGTACAGGTATTAGTATGGTGATAATCTTTTCTATGAAATACGTACCGTTACGGAAGTCGCTAAGTTCGATCTCACTACTGTACTGTAGAGAAGTACCCTAAATTCGTTAGTGTATGTTTTCGGAGAAGTCGGTATATCGGTGCATCAAACATCAGTTTTATTACATTTTCAATTTCCATGCACATGTAAAGCATCGGTTATATGTCGTGATACTTAGTCATATAAATCTGCAAAATATACATTAAATGTAAAATGATAAAGACCTGTACAGTAACCTCCTTAACAGCTGATAATAGATATAATAAAGAAATATAGATGCAATAAATACTGACAAATCCTTATCGTTCTCTTTAACTGTCAGCTAGTGAAAAAGAAAATTCTTCATTGTGTTCTAGTAGTAATGTGTAAAGTGTGATCAGTCCCAAAGAAAGACCATCGATGAAATCAAGAAACCAGCACACAAAAATTAAAGCAAATATTTTATTTGCATACTTTAAACTGTTTATGCCAAAATAATGAATACAGTGTGTACACCAACATCATGAAGGGAAAGGCTTGCGTGTAAGTTAACTGGATGGACTGGTAAAAACCTAAGAAAACAAGATTGCAATTTGGTGACAACATTTGTGACACATTGGTGACTGCAATTTGGAAACATTTACCATCTGAACAAGTCCCAGGATTCAAACAGACAAATAATATAGACCTTAAGACATCAGGCACAACTGGTTTCAGTTCACACCCTAGACACATATACATGATTTCATTTTATATCTTGATGTCAGTGAATTCACCAGTTCCTGTTTACTAGTTATAAATGAAAGTGTCTGGCAGAATATCCTGGAAAAATAGGCCTGTTGTGTCCTGCAAGTCTGTAGGAAGGAAACATGTTTCTTCTCTCGAGAATGGCCCTGAGTAGGAATTCCACATACTCTGTGAATACATTTTACATTGAATTAGAGACATTTTGTAACACAATTTCAGTATATTTTGTTTTGGCAACCATAATAATAAAATTTTCTTTGAAATCTGCTCTAAAAGTAGGTACTTTTGTCTTAACAAATGCTGAGAGGGAAAATAGATATGAGGATTAAAAACCAGTGTCTTTGCAAACAAGACTTAGTGTTGACTCATTAGTTAGGGAAAAACATGCAGTAATAGGAGATGGAGTGCACCAGTTCAACAAAACATTATTGATTGTCTGAATTATATTTGGTTTCTTGTTCACTGGCTTGGCCTCTTTGTTTAGGCCTAGTTGGGTAGCTGATTGTCCACTTGGGTTCTCCAGTCGTGGTCACTTCTAGGGTATTTAGGCTGTTTTGATTGATGTGAAATGCTGCCATGTACATCCTAAAAATAGCTTTAAAGTGGCATTTTTACATTTGCCAAAATCAAAACCCACAAAGAAATACATTATCTGAATGAACATATTTTCCTGATTTCCCATTTTTGAAAGTGGGTTAAAAGTTACCTATATATACATCTGCCATGATGATTTCACAAAGGGGTCCATAAATACCTAAGTTTTATGCCAGTGCAGTGCAGTCATTTTTTATTTTATTTATTGTACATTGCCTTAACGAAAGAAAGAGTGAGATTCAACATTTTAATCATGCCCTAACACAAACACGCACACGCACACGCACACACACGCACACGCACACGCACACACACACAATTCACATACCATTTTAACATGGTAAGGGACCAGTCCCTGGTGGATAATTATCTGATATGACTCATTTTCAATTATGTTTTAAAAATCATGTGCTCTCTCTCACCACCCCACCCATATGTTGCAAGTTCTCATTTGTCCATGCCCACCCCCATCCCAATCCCTCCACACACACTCAAATCACAACACACCCGTCTCGGGAAATAGATGACTTGGCCCTACTGAGTAACAGTAACAGTGGCTGTGAACATATATCTCTGATCGAAAATAGGACATGAGCGCAAATTATGACGTACTTTTTCATCAACTATTGCTTTATATAGCTAGCTACTGGAGTGTTTATGTTGCTCCAAAACAACTACATCTTAAAACTCGCCTGCAACCAACGTCGCCTACGGAATGCAACCATCTCGGTCTCAGTCCCAAGTTGACATTTCGGCCTCTGTGTTTGTTTGGAATGTCGAAAGGAATGCCCGATATATAGCATCCTTATAAAGTTTAAGTTTTGCCTATTCTTCATATTTCGCCAGAGGTTAGGTCTCTTTCATAGCACTTCTTCGAAAAGTGCAACGAACAGATGACCGTGCGTGGAGGGGTTCATAAAATCCGCACTACGACAGTATAACAATCTATGCCCTTCCTCTTGTCAAATAGAATTTCTCAGGAAATGTACATCCGTGTTGTTTACGCAGATGGATAATCATCAAAACTTGAAGTGCAGTTGTCAGTTTTTAATACATAATCACAACAACGCTCCATTCAAAATATTGCGCTTCGTGTCACTTTCAACTCAATGGCGTATACACTACTGAAATGTCAACACACTGAGCGGACGCCTAAAAATACAAATCTGCATACGAGTGGACGGGGCTAAAGTGGTTTTAGTTTTGGTGCATATTTATAATTTGTACGACTATTTTTCGTAAATGGATGGTGCAGATGTGGTATATATCCATGTTTGAATGACATTATGTAATAAAAATGCATAGTGTTTAACCTGTTTAAAAATCCTTTAAGTATTTTCTTTTGTAGTTTATCATCCTTACACACAGTAAATACATACATGGGTTGACTGACAGAAGGATTTGCGTAAGAAGTTGTATTGTCAGAGATATATCAGCAATACTTGAGTAAATGGAGCAAATATTTGAAAAATAAAAAAGCCGGCGTCTGTGACTTAGAAAACCCCAACTAAAACCACACAGGGATCAAGGACACATAGAAAAATAGCCTTAATAACAAAACAAAACAAAACGCTATGAATACAGCAGCTGGGAAGGATTCCCCTTCCTGTATCACCGCAAAGACACGTGAGTGAGTTTAGTTTTACGCCGCTTTTAACAATATTCCAGCAATATCATGGCGGCGGACACCAGAAAAGAGCCTCACACATTGTACCCATGTGGGGAATCGAACCCGGGTCTTCGGCGTGACGAGCGAACGCTTCAACCACTAGGCTACCCCACCGCCCCGCCACCGCAAAGAGGTGATCAGCAGAGTTTGAACGTGGCAGGGAAAGACTTGAAACAAATTTCACCAGAAAATTCTGTAACGTAAGCCTCACCAGAAATCATTCAGAGAATACACGATGTGGTGACCAACCTGCCAATGACTGAGCGTCATATTGCAAGTTCAGTAGGCATTCTCCAAGAGATGTTCAGTAGGCATTCTCCAAAATGTTCAGTAGGCATTCTCCAAGAGATGTTCAGTAGGCGTTCTCCAAGAGATGTTCAGTAGTCATTCTCCAAGATGGTCAGTAGGCATTCTCCAAGAGATGTTCATTAGGCATTCTCCAAGAGTTGTTCAGTAGGCATTCTCCAAGAGATAATCAGTAGGCATTCTCCAAGAGATGTTCAGTAGCCGTTCTCCAAGGTGTCCAGTATGTATTATCCAAGAGATATTCAGTAGGCATTCTCCAAGAGATGTTCATAAGGCAATCTCCAAGAGATGTTCAGTAGGCATTCTTAAAGATGTTCAGTAGGCATTATTCAAGATGGTCAGTAGGCATTCTCCGAGATAATCAGTAGGCATTCTCCAAGAGATGTTCAGCAGGCATTCTCCAAGATGTTCACTAGGCATTCTCCAAGATAATCACTAGGCATTCTCCAAGACATGTTCAGTAGGCATTCTCCAAGATGTTCAGTAGCCATTCTCGAAAAGATGTTCAGTAGCTATTCTCGAAGAGATGTTCAGTAGCCATTCTCGA